CCGTAAGTTCTATGCTAACAGTATCTTTTCTCACATTTTTCGCTTTTGGTACTCCCTTTCGGCTCCATGATTACCAGCCAACTTTAATCTAAAAAAATTTAAACGCAATGACAATCGTTATCTACCGTATTCAGGATTACTCTTTTCTCTTCCCGCTAATTAGTAATGTTTCTGTTCCTCATTCTTACTCATCCAGTAACACCTAGCCTCTTAGTGTATTTTGTGCCTTTTAAAACTGATATTTCACTCTTAATTATCTAGGATAAACATACGATCAATTTATTCCTAACAGTTTTGTAGCAATATGAGTCAAGCTGAGGTTTTGTCCTGTTACAGAACTCGATACGGGACATACTTTCAACCGATGGCTATCAGTAATTGGAGTCAACTTCAAAGTACAAAAACAAGAGAAAGTGACACAAGAAAGTTAAATTCCTTTTTTAGACGAAGATGACAGGACAAAGAAAACTATTGTCCATAAAACTGATTATCCCGCGAAAAAGTAAACAGAACGAACGAAGTGGGCGTCTTAGAAGGATATAGACGAAATGCGCACCTCTTACTGGTTTTCTTCTTCATTTGTTGGTAACAATTCTGTCTGAAGGGTAATTTTTAACCCAGAAGCATTTGACTGAAAGAAACTGCACTTTGTCAACGAACCTGGGGTCTGGTCTGAGCTGCAAAGTAACAGTTTCTTTTGTCTTTTAATTTTGACCATAGATGTCACATTCATTTCCCCACGCTTATCTTAATTAAGATTGATGTTTTAGCCTGTATGTTTCATTTTGTTAGTTTCATGTTTTTTGATTTTTGGAATACGAACCAATCATGAGAATTACAAGTAACTAAGGATCCTACATTTATTTTGCCGTGGGCGAAGGATATTCTTGCCTGTAAATTTTACATAACTGTAATTTGCAAAATTAACTAGATAAAAATAAAAGTAAAATCACTCGAATAAAAGATCCTTCTCTCTTTGAGATGTCAGAATCCTTGATGATTCTACCGTTTGGCAAAGGCGGCCAAACTCAGTTCGCGTGGAACCGTAGGAGGATTTTCTCACTTTTCTTAATTTGATTGTCTCTACAGCATCAGGGCCTCGGGAGGCAAGCCAAACAAATATTCTGTGCCAACTTCTTCAACGGAGAGTCACTCTATTCTGGTCACTGTCGGATGCTGATGTTGATTCTCTTGCCGTTTCATTTTGTCTTCACCGCCTACAAATAAACCAAGGAAGTCTCCACTAATCTCTCATAACTCGGAGAGTAAATCAGCTTCCCCTTAGAGAAGTTGCTTTTTTTTATCAAAATTATCATTATATGTAGACTCTCACATTATAAATTTCTTTCTCCTTTCATTCATAACCCTTTCAGAATTTCATTTCTAATGTGTTGTGTTGTGATGTTGGGTATGTCAAGACAACACTTAAAATCCACAGAGTCAGTCTTGATAGCAATAGTCAATACTCAGCTAGACAAGTCACTGCAATAGTATTATCTTCCTTTTTCTAGACAATTATCCAGAACTACTTATGAATAGATCAGTCCATTCTTACCACAACATTATGCCTTTTATATATTTATACAAGACACAGTCCTTTACAAACACTCTAATCAATCTGTTTATAACATGAACCCTTATACAGACTCATTTTCTCAAGATTGGCGTAATTATTCATATAAATTTGAAATCCAGAATATCCTTATGAGAAGATTATGTACCGTCATGAATTTCGGCATTATCAACATGAAATTTATGAAGATGTTAACTTCGAATCTGAAATTAAAAAGTGGTCCTATGACTGGTCATTTGACAATCTTACAAATATAATATCGGATACATTTGAAACAACTCTCACCACCCGACTCCCAAAACCCAATGACATAAGGTCCATTGGTGCTGCACAATTACTGCAGCCGTAGCAAAAGTCTATGTTTTTTATACTAATATTTACCCAATACAAGACCCAAGAGCCGCTCAATGTAGAAGGTTAATGTGTAGTGCTTTATTAGCTTAAGAAAGGACAAGAAGGGGAGTTCATAGGGTTACGCAGGAAAGATAACGGTTAACCCTAGACTTAAAGATGTCACCAGTGGAGGAAATCCTGTTAGGAGCCTGTTTCCCAAAGCAGCAGTTCTTGGGAAGAAGCTGTTCAAATGGAAATTATTTCTTACTATTGAAATACATAGTGAAAGGGGATATTCACTTTAGTGAACTTGGTACGCAGGGTCCCAGTTGTAAAGGTCGGGGCTGGTGGACTAAAGAATGTAGCCTGTCATAACAAATAGCGATTGAGCAATGAAAATCTCATGACATTCGTCTCGGGCAAAATACTCTGACGGAGACCATCCCTCTTTTTGCGGTTTTTTAAAACTGTCCTTCTCCTCGACTGGTTGTTATCGAAGTCAAGAAATCCCAGTCTGCCTTTCTATTTAACCCATAGCTAAGGGAAAACATATGCATTCATGCCTTTCCTAAGGGTATCTGTGTGAAAGTGAACGCAACGAACGCGGCTGGAGTTCGAACTTGGCTCTTTCCGACCTGCTGCTAACTGTTACACTTCCCGTACACCCATAAAGCAGCAGTAGCAGAGGAATACAAGACACCAATATAACAAATTCTTGTGGGATACAAACAGGATTCAAAATATGAAAGTGCTTTCAGAAATTCTCTTAAAAATGTTTCTGCAGATATCCGAAGTCAAGAAGACAAAAATACATGCAGGCACCCACGTGAGGTGCCAACGTGTGTGTACCTGTTTCCATGCCCCATTGTGTAACAATTTAATTCCAATAATTTCCTTTTAAAAGCAAAATTTGTTTATGTGGTCACTGTTGATCGCTGCCATCAGGAAAGTGCTCCCTTTGCAATCTATGTTCGTAAGACGTTTGTGTCACCGTTGAAATATTTTTTCGAACCCGTTCACCCGAATGCTTTTCAATGGTGCAGTCACGTGTGACTGGGTGTCAGGAAATCATGGCATTTTCTGGATATTTTTTTACTTTTAAAAACAGTCCCAAACAACAGGGGTGTAAGCCTGGTACGTAAGGTGGATGGCTCATGTTTGTTACAGTTTTCTAATGCCGGGAACTCGCGAAATCCTAACGCATCGTGTGCAGGATAATTTTTATGTAGTATTCACATGTCAGCCCTGAGTTCCTGCTTTTTTCATAAGTGGATTCATTTTTTACGGCTCATTAACTTTTTGAAGGTTATTTAAAGCCAGAAAATATTTTTAGATAATAATTTTTTTTAGATACAAGTCTTCTTCATCATCATCATCATCATTCGACCCTAGTTAGGATCATCGAGTCAATGTAAACGATCCTTTCTGTAGCTGTATAGTATATGTGCTACACCAGGGCTACATACTGTTTTTTGAATTCAGAGTTACTTTCTCTTAGACCGGTTAGCACCCAAGGCTATAAAACCCAGTCGGTCCTGGTATTTACCCATAGCTGGCGGGAGGAGATGAGGATACATACTTTTCCCAAAGTTATTAGCACGTAAGTGAATGTAATGGATTCGAATGGAATTCGAACTCGGCTCTCCGATTCCTCAAGCCGAGCCGCTATCCATTAATCAGCAAGTCTTACAATATAAACATAACTTGAGTCTGATGATGTCCTAAATGACGAAACGTGTCACAGGAACCTTTTTTCCACTTTGTCATATACGTTCCTAAAATTGTTCTTGATATATAAAAAATATTATTATTATATTTCTATTATAAGTGATTATAATAAAAACATTTTGAAATCGCTACACAAAAGCTTTCATTTTTCAATACTATGATTGTACTTCCTCAGGCGATGGTAGGTAACTGGTTATAAGATGATTTCATAGGAATATTTAAAAACAAATTGTTACCTCTTTTCCTAAAGTTAAAGGGGCGGCATAAAGTCAGAAATTAAAAAGGGACTTGTGGGTATGTCTCAATTAACCAATTAAATTATATTTTTTTAAAAAGTAAATGCTTCGGACGGTGGATTTTTACTCCATTTGTTCTTTCTCCCATTTGGATACATAAAAAAAAGTACCTAACTTTTTCGCCACAGTTATTAGTCTGTATTTGTTTTATTTTCAGATATAAAATTTTAATTATATATTTATAATATAAATAAATATTATCGACAGAAATACTGTTCGTCCTGATAGACGTTGAATTATATCATTTTACAAATCTGAATAAGTGTCATTAATATTATTTTATTTTTGTCATTTTCAGATATATAAAGATTTCCAATGGTTCATCGCCTCGACATAGAAACAAAATATTTGAAAGTTATTGACTAATAGGAACAGATCGTTGGAAGTTAGTGAAAAACTTTATCAGACATCATAGAATAATTTTTTTAATGTTTGAATATTGGCAAGAACAAGTAAAAGTAACTGGCACTAAGAATTTGATGAAAACGAATTGAGAAGAATTAAAAGAATAATACACAAGAAAAGTGAATTGTATCTACCATTTTTTGTTTACATAAGCATATATTTTTTACAACGTCGGAAAACCCTATTCATACATATGCATATATATTTGGTTGAGCGTAGGTGTATCAATGTAGATTGTAGATATATGGTAAATAATGTCTTTATAAAAACATATATGTCTATGCATTTGTGTGTGTGTCTATATGTTTACTATTGTAGACTTTTAGACAGTAAATGCTTGAATATGTTTAGCTGTAAGAATTTATGTATATTTGTGTGTGTACGTCACAATATTTCTAAAGAGCAGTCAGGGAATTCTTTATATGAATTACTCAATAAGAAAGTAATTTCCACGTAAAGTAATTTGGATTTAGTGTGAAATTAGGAGGTTGTTGATGACTGTCTACTTCGCATTTGTATGACGAAAAAACGAGCAAAAATGGCGGCAAAGAGAAAATGACGTAAGAAATCATAACGAAAAAGGCATTGTTTCCGATGATCACGGACCAAAGCATGATTTTTTATTTAAGACAGTCTTGTCTTTTCAAAAACGACCAGAAATAAGATTAGGAAAGAGAAGTAAATGGGAGGAAAGAAGATGAATAGTGAAGAAAATGGGAAGAGAAGAAGGAAAGAGAAGTTAAGAAGAAGACAGAAGGAAAACAAGAAAAGACGAAGATAATTGCGATGGAAAGAAAAAGAAAGAGGAAAACAGTTGAAAAGAGGAAAAGTGGTAGAAAGAGAAGGAAAAATGAAGATAAAAGAAAAACAGAATAAAATACAAGGGCAATTAGCGATGGAGAGAAAAGAAAGAGGAAAACAGTTGAAAAAAAGAGGAAAAGAGTTAGAAAGAGAAGGAAAAACATAGATAGAAAAAAAGAAACAATAAAAGAGGAGGAATAGTGACGAAAAGAAAAGGAAAGAAGAATACAGAAGAAAAGTAGAAAAAAAAAAGGAAAGAGAAGAAAAATAACGAAAAAGAAAGGAAATATCTCGTTGGCAACTAAAAGTAGTTGATTAGACTGTTTCAAAAAGATGGCAACGAGTACATAGTACTTATTGTAGTTTTTCTAAGGCGTATACATACAGACACACACAGATACGAACACGCATACACTTACACTTACACGTACGCGCACACACACACACATATATATATATATATATATATTGCCTGACGATGAAAAAAAAATTTACGCAGTAAGGATCGTGTTTCCCTCATCTTCGAGTCATTATTGGTTATCGAAGTTGGTTAACACCTTGTAAATGCGTTTGACAGTTAGTGACTTGAATGCCACGGTCCCGCGCAAGCGCGTGTGTGTATGTGTGTGTGTGTGTGTGTCTCTATCTATCTCTTTCTCTTTCTTTTTTTTTCTCTCCCCCCCTCTCTCTCTCTCTCTGCATAGTGAGTATGTAAGACAAGGAAAACTATTATATTATTATTTTACCATGTTTCGGCGATGGATTGACATCATCAGAAAGAAGGATTTTACTTAAAAAAACAAAACTAAATTATCGAGACGAAACATGATTCATGCTAAGCATATCAACGCTTATTTTTTACTTCAACCGAATCATTTAAAAATTAGATTTTAACTAATTTGAACTCAGTTATTTTGTATTTTTTTATATAGTCATTTGTTTTAATATTTTCCACTTTGTTTCAGCAAAAATTTAGTAAGAGCAGGTGATAAATAGAAATTGTATGTTGTTCGTTGTGCATGGCTCTACTTATAACATAATACCACAAAAAATATACAGTACAACTATATGGGTTTTATAGCTGGCTACTCGTATTCGAGGATACCTGACTACTAGGGCGGCTAGCCAATCCCTATTGTTTGCTCAGGCTCATTTTGTGTTTATTCAACATCTACAGAACCCACCATAGAACCCACCTGTGGTTTATTCTGCAACTATGCTGAGCAGACCTTAGTTACAGTTTCTGGGAAAGAGCGCGTTATCTAGCGTGATGAACAAGGTCATGGTGATTGGAAACCCCCAAGTTCCGTCTAGCCAATTTCCCTCACACGGCTTGGGTCAAACTGTGGCATGGTTTTCAGGCACTTTACGCTGGAATCGGTATCTCGCCACCCCCCACGAGGGTTGCATGTGGCACAAGGCCGAGTTTATCATGGGTTTCCCGAGCCCGTAGGCTCGGCCAAAAAATGCCCGTATAACCCGTATAAACGAGATCGGGTTGGTCATTTTTCCCGAACGAGATTCTGCCCTTCGGCGGAACCTCGTCCGGGTTCCTTTCTGCTCAGAGGCAGAAAGTTCGGCCGTCAAGTCGAGAAGCTCGGCTTGAATCAAACGCTGGAATCGACTCCTCTAGTCCAAGAATCGACCATGGTGAGATTTGAACCCGAGACTCATTGTCAGAATACGACCGTTCTAACCACACGACCACGTGCCCATATATGGGTTGTAATACAGGAAAAAGCCACCATACAAATGCATAGGGACCTTTACTGACTTTTTATGAACTAAAGGAAAATAACTGAAATCATGTCAGCTGAATATATGGTTTGAAAAGAGGTGTGGGAGTTATTTAAAAAGTCACTTGAAACAATTTGGGCTCATGCGATATATAGCTTGTGAAAACTAAGATGATGATTTTAAAACTACATAAGTCTTAATGACTAATTTATGCAGGCTAGTGAATTCCGAAGTTCAATGTTTCAAAAATATTGTTTACGACACCATGAAGATCTACAGCGGAATTTTATCAGAAATTCTAAAATCCAAAAACCTCCAGAATCCGAAAGTTTTTCAGGTGGTGACATGACTTTGCACAAATGGAAAATTTCAGAAAGCAATAGGATGGTTCCCAGGTGATATGCAGCTGTTGTAATTGAACTCATCTACCCTGGGTGGGGGTTCCCCAGCCCACCTACTTAGCTTACGTAGACGCCAGTTTTTTGTTAGCGATCGTCACGGCAACACTTTCGTTCGCCGATAAATTAACAGATGTTTCGTGCTCAGTAAAGGTATTATTCTTAAAGTCCTGGTTTTATGTATATATTTTCTGTAAGTAATGATTATTTTTTTTGTAAACTTACAGAGAGTACAAAGCATTATTTTTACGTGAAATCTTAATTTCCCCACTTAAAAATCTGTGTAAACATTACATGACTAACGTCATTATCTTTATCTGCATGTACACAAAATTTATTAAATTTTATATAAAACTACCTTCAGGATTCATGTATAAGATGTGTTATGAAATTTAAAGGGATATCGTGTTTATGCTTGTGTCCCATTCCTAAGCTGCCTCATTTTATAAATGTTATATACAAATTAAATAGCCTGTATTCCAAAATCTGAAAAAATCTGAAAATCGAAACACATCTGAATTTCGGATAAATGATTCTTAATAGTAACTATTTAAATCAGCTGTAATCTGCAAATTGAAGAAAAGTCATCATGCAAATGTATTGAGAAATTCACTGACTTTTCATTAACTAAAGGAAAATAGTGATTTTCCAAGCGTAGCTTAGATGTGGCACAAGGCCGAAATTAGGGGGTACCCAGTGAGGATCGAACTCACTACTCAGTCGTAATTGTTCTAGTGAGCCAAGCTTGCTAACCATTACACCGCCTCGAGGAGCCCCAACTAAAGGAAAATATCTGCTATATGAAATGATGTAATCTGAAAATACGCTCTGAAAAAGAGCTATGACGATTATTTATAATCACTCAAAGAAATTTGGGCTTATGAGATAGGTAGCCTGTGAAATAATTCAAGGTTTCCTTAGAGAAGACAAGAATGCATATCGAATTTATAAAAGAGTGTAATAACTGGCGTTTGAGAAACTGGTAGATATTATAAGAGATATTAAATGAAAAATCAAAAATGTAATATTTTGGGGGTCTGGTGAACGAGAAAAAGAGTCAGCGAATATATTACCCACAATGCATTACAACAATAGTTAAACACAGAGAAGGTCTGAAACGGTTTCCATCCATGGTATCGAATTAAAGAAATTACGGGTAGTAAATCAACAACACGCTAGATTTAGTTGTTTCTCTCTGTCGAATGAAGATAGCTTAGTGGTAGAAACTCTGACTGATCGGTTGGGTTTCGATCCATGCTTGATGTATTCGGATGTCTAGTCACACTGAGAAGCTGTGATGCAGCTAAATAGTACTGTCTGGGAATGGCATAATTTAGCTCTTGAAAATATATTTCAATTGAGCACTGTTGATTGATAAGCTAATTCTATAAACAACAGCCACCTGCGTTAATGCAAAGCTCTTCAGTAAAATAAATTGGAGCACTCCGGCTGATTGGCATTTGTTTATATTCATAAAAACAATACAATAGATTCAGTTGTTTCTCTCTGTCGAATGAAGATAGCTCAGTGGTAGAAACTCTGACTGTTCAGATGGGTTTCGATCTGGGCTTGAAGTATTTGGTTGTCTAGTCGCACTAAGGAGCTGTGATACAGTGAAACAGTACTGTCTGCGAATGGCATGATTAGTGATATATTATTGTATAGATTTAGGGCAAAGTTTCCAGCATTATAATGCGCCCTTACATTTTGTGACACGAATCACTATATTCATGGAAGACTAATATTAAGCTGCTGCAGTCAATTACCCAGTTATTTAGATCGTAACCTCTTTGATGACAAAGACAACAATTGACCTAGAAACGTTAACGCCCTCTGTAATAGTAGAACGTTTCGGAACTGGCACTAAATTCCACAAGAAAAAAAAACTGGAATACCGAGGAAAATGCTGGAATGTTTAAGAGGCTTAATGTCATTGAGTCCATTGTAAGAAAGCGGTTTCCTGTTGGGCGAATATTCAATTAATGAGTAACAGCAACAACAATACTACTAGAACTACTAAACTAGAAATACTGGATAATGAACTAGACTATGGTGGTTTTCCTAGCCTCATTTAGATGTGGCACAAGGCCGATAGTGTGGAGCACTAAATGAGGATCAAACTCACTATTCAGTCGTAATTGATCTAGCGAGACGAGCTTGCTAATTATTACACCACGTTCACAAAAAACGGAGTAGACCATGAATGATATAAAATGTCATTAAAAATTAATACCTTCAGATGCTGAAGAAATAGACCAACGAAGCAAAACTAAAAAGGTATAAGCTAAATAATTGTTTAATATATATAACCTCATTTCTCAAATCAATGTAATGTACTTTTACAAAGACATAAACGAAAAAAGTGACAAAACAAAGAACGAAGATCTATAGACATAATATTGTCTCGAATGGAATATGGAATACCAAATGCGAATAATAAAAAACACTAATCATTAACAAAATATATTCGGAATATAGAAGGACAAATAATATGAAATAAATACTCTAAAAATGAAATCCGAAAAATAGCTAAGTGGAAAGCACCAGAGTATGATTGTATTCTTAGATACTGGTTTGGAATATTCGTGTGTCCTGGGCATGATGATAAACTACATCCGGCAGCAAGGCCTCTGATCAGGAGGTTTTGAGGGGCATGGAACCACTTCTTAATTGCTGGTGTTTCCAGGTCCACCCTGACCCGGGGTGGTAGCACCTGTTAGGGTCCCAGCTATGGGCAAATAGTTAACCCCCAAACTGGGATCAAAACACTATGGAAGTGTAAAAATAGGTTTTAATACCAGCAATACATTTTTGAAAAAAATTACCAGCAATACATTTTTGAAAAAAAAATATTACCAACAATACATTTTGAAAAAAAAAATACCAGCAGTACATTTTGGAAAAAAGATATTACCAGCAATATATTTTTGAAAAAATTACCAGTAATATATTTTTGGAAAATAATGTTACCAGCACTAAAACTCTTGTCGGGATTAAATAAACCCATTGAGGTTGATATGCCGTAAAACAAAACAAACCTAACCAAACTAAGCTGAAAATATTCGCCATGCTTACCAAGGCAGTAGCTTAAAAACTGGCGAAAGAAAAAAATGTTCTAGAATGTATGACCAGAGGTAGAAAACGTACGTTCTCAAAGATACCGACAAAAGAAGAGAGGCCGACAAATCCCGACCGAACACTTTGCTTATCATTGGTGTAAAAAAATCTTAGCGAAACAAATGTCAGAAAAAAACATACGAATCAAAAGAAACAGATGACGCTTACCAGAAGATACAGGAACTAAGCGATGAAGCTAAAGGCTAAATGATAGCTCTTCACCGGGCAGAGATTCTGAAGGAAGTAAAATCAGAAGAAAAAAGCAGTAGTTTGGATTGGCTAAACAAAGGCCTTAGATATGGTTCTACATAGCTGAATACATGAATACTCTCAGGATATTCAAGATTGAATAACCAGTCTTGGAATTTGTAACTAAATCCGTTAAAACCTGAGAAGCTAAACATCTGAGTAACCTCCTACACATAAGTATTCGTTAAAAGATAGATTTCTCAGGTAGACTCCTTGTCAAACGCTACTATTCTTAAGGGTAATATTACTAAACGTAAAGGATATTAATTCTTCAGTAGAATGGAATCGGTTAACCATTTTCATAAAATTATTTGCTAAGAACTTTATAGATCTCGAAATAATGGAAAAGTTAAAATGAGGCCATCAGAATGGGATTTGGGATGAACTAATACACAATAGATAACATTAGATTAAGGACATTTCCAGAACAGGATCATTATACAGAAAGAACATTTAATGTTTTCTTTAAATCTGCAACTGTAATACAATTTAGCCTTTCATTTATCATCATGCAATCATCTCCAGTGAATTTAATGAAATATATAAAAAATAACCTATCTATGTATCTGGCTTACAGACATATCACGTTGAAGCAACGGTTCTCGTTCGATCACCGAAGTTAAGAGACGTTGAATTTGGTCTGTACCTAGATGGGTGACCGTTCGAAAATACCAGGTGCTGTAAGCTTGTATGTGCGGTTGTTGTAATTGATAATGGGTAGGAAGGAGAAATTGGAGAGCCGAGTTCGACTTCTAGTCGGATTCGTTATAATCACTTACATTCAGAAACGGTATGAATCCAGCTTTTCTCTTCCCAGCTATGGGTTAAATAGTAAGACTTGTATCAGAAAATCATTATTATCTCCAAAAACACTTACAATCCAAAGGTATGTTTCGGCTTTAAATAATCTCAAAAAGTTTGATAAACCGTAAAAAAACAACTCACTGAATGAATCAATATCTATCTATCTAATTATCATAAAATCTATCTAATTATCATAAAATCTATCTATCTATCTCATTATCATAAAATCTATCTATCTCATTATCATAAAATCTATCTATCTATCTCCCATCGACGCACCTTCATGGTTGGATATTTAGCGTATTTATTTATTCCTTAGGCTTCATTTTGATATTTTATTGTTTCTTCTCAGGATTTTTAACGCATATCCTTCTGGTGTCATCTTTAACTAAAGTCCTCTTTTGTTCCTACGCATCTAAACAATGACTGTAAACTAGAGTCTTGGAAAGACAAAATTCCACAGAAATATATTGGAAAAGATGCAATCTGTCACAATATACATACATACATATATATATATATATATATATATATATATATATATATATATATTTTTTTTTTAATCATTTCACCCCAAGTAAGGCAGGGAATGCTATTAGTTCGCAGGTGTTTACAGTAAGTGAAAGTGAGAGAAAAACTGCGCATAGGGAGGATTTAGGAAAGGATAAAAGATGAACTTGATTCAAGAAAAGAGAAGAGAATAGAAGATGGCGATTGATATTGCATTTAAATCTTTGAAGATTTTAGTTATCAGGGAATCAAGGGATTTTAGTTATCACGGAAGGGTGTCCCACAGGCGGGAAGTGAGAGAAAATAAACGGTTGTAGTGGAAGTGACGGTTACATTTAACTATTTCAACCGTAAAATGGTGGGACCTAGATGCTAATATAGTAGAATGCATAAATTCGTGTAGTTGGAGCACCAGGGAAAACTCTTGTCAAAGCAGTTGCCATGAAAATATTTGTAGAAAAGACAAAATGGAAACCAGACCTCGTCGGTGAGAAAGTGACTTTATTAAAAAATGTGCCCTCAGTTTAAAACTAACGTCTAAGAGGATATGACGAAAACGAAAATATGCCCCTTCCTTTCTAAATATCGAAAAAACTGTCTCCATTGTATTGGTTTATTAAAAGAAATATTACAGATATATTTTATTTCAGAATTTACATTATCACACAACCTCTTACCATTCGCCGGGGTTACGTATTTTCTATCGACGCCAACAACATTTCGATTTCTAAAAACAGGCTAATTTTCCTCACTTGATACATTGACACAACTCAAACTTTCTCCGCTTTAAGTCTATTCAAGATTAATGTAGACTTAAGTAAATATCTATACGCATTTGTATACTTTCATTATTCATTTCCCTGCAGAAGGAAGATGGCATAGTGTTTGGGCTGTTTTGCCAATGATTTCCAAATCGACGCAAATGAGAAGTTACCATTTGGAGCTAATTCTTTTGAAATGAGAAACAGAAAAGGTTTCTTTTTTTATCTTCTTGAATAACAAGAAACACAGAAACCTGAAATTACAGCGATGAAGAACAACAAGTTCCACTGGAGCAATTTCTATTATTCCTGAAATTTCCAAGAATATTATTCTGGTTTTTGCATCGTCAATTAAAAGAAAAATGCATCCTTTCTACGTTTTAATATAATCTACATTGTTCCAACACTTTTCCATATTCATTATAAATATTAATGGTCTTCTACAATGATGAGACTCTTTCTTTCTCGTTGCCATATTTGCCATAGATATATTCTTCAGATGTCAGTTATATATTGATTGCTAGTTACTCTTGCAAATCAATCATTTGTGTAGTGATTTCAGCGTGTAGCTCAGTACTGGGTTCTTGTATCAGATAAAACTTGGTAAATTACACTCTTTCTTTTTATTAGTGTTAATCTCTTTTTATATCTTTTAGTATTACTTTGTATTCTTAAATGGTATTGCTTACTCGAGTAGATCTTTAGGTTTGTGATGTAAAGCAAATATCATTGTTGTCGTCTTTTCGTTGTTTCAGTCGAAGTTTGATTAATAATAAACATTGTTTCCAGAAGAGAAATCAAAATGCCAAAGTACAAAGACATCGAAAGAGAATCCTTACACCTCAGCTAATAATCCTTTCTACAGAAGTTAGTTATTTTCGGCGGTTTTCGCTGAATTGTCAACTAGAAGAAAAATAAGAAGAAGAAGAAAGAAAGAAAGAAAGAAAGAACAGAAAAAAAAGACAAACGAAAACAAGAAAGAAGTAGAAAAACAAGAAGAAGAAAGAAAAAAGAAAGAACAACGAGAAGGATGAATAAAAATGTACAAGAAGATGAAGAACAAGAATGAAGATGGAGAAAAACAAGAAGATGAAAAAGAAGAAGAATGAAGATGAAGAAAAACAAGATGAAGAAGAAAAAGAAATATGATGAAGAAGAACAAGAAAGTAGATGAAGAACAAGAAGATGAAGAAGGGCAAGAATGAAGAAGAGGAAAAACAGGAAGATGACGAAGAACAAGAATGAAGATAAGGAAAAACAAGACTAAAGATGAGGAAAAACAAGAAGATGAAGAAGAACAAGAATGAAGATGAGGAACAAGTAGATGAAGAAGAATAAGAATGAAGATGGAGAAGAACAAGAAAGTGGATGAAGAAGAAGAAGAATGAAGATGGAGAAACATGAATAAGAAGAACACGAAAGATAAAGAAGAAAACGGAAGAAGAAAGATAAAGTAACAGAATAAGATGTTAAAGGAGAAAAAGCTGAAGTGGATTATGAAGAAGAAAAAGAAGTAAAAAGAAGAAAAGAAGCAGAAAGACGAAAAAAGACAAGAAGAAGAAGATAGATGAAAGAAGAGAGAAGGAGAAGAAGAAAAAGGAGATGAACAAAGAAAAAGAAGTTTCTTTGATTTGGGTTGCCAAGAAGAAGAAGAAGAAGTCGTCGTCTCTTTGGTTTGGTTTACTGAAAACGAATAACTCCGCAAGAAGAAAACGAAAAAGAAAGAAGAATATGAAAGAAGGAGAAGAAAATGAAGGAAAAAAAAGAAGAAGAAGAAGCCTCTTTAGTTTGGTTTACAATATTTTAATTTTTGAATTTGCACTGCACATGAATAATGAAGCGAACGATAGAGAGCGAAAGAAAACAGAAGAAAGAAGAATATGAAAGAAGAAGAAATAAGTTTCTATGATTTGGGTTGCTATATTTTAATTTCTCAATTTGCACAACTCACAAATAATGAAGTGAAAGATAGAGAAAGAAAAATATCGCCACATCAAATGACGCATGTTTAACTAACATCATTTAGAAATCTGATTATGCTTTTTTTATTTAATCCATGTAGACCACTTCCGATAACAAGGTATTCTGAAACGAAATAACAAATACTAATATATCATATCTTTTAATATTTAATGAATTAAATTATGTTTTATTTCAATTTACATTAACATTCAAATGTTGCTGACTGTTATAACCATCATTGTTGGCAAGCCCAGAAGAGTCCCGAAGTTTGCTTCATCTCATATGAGAGATATCAGAGAGTATTAGATTGAACAATTAACAAGGACAATACTATTAAGAATAAGATGTTAACGGCCACATATAAAATTCTACAACTAATCGAAATGGCTAACAGACTGTATGAGAAAGAAGGAAGGGGATTTTTTTCACATCGAAGAATTGTATAAATGGTCGTTTTGCAAACTAGAACAGTGAAAGAACCAGAGAAACTATAAATGATGAAATGATAGCAAACCAGAGGAGAATGACAAATCAGGCATGAAAGGCAGATGGAAATTATCGCAGATGAACAATCGAAGATAAGTTTAGCAGAAGTTTGAAAAAGTAATGGAATCCTTCGTCATAGCATCTCAACATCAATACACCATGGGGAATTGTATGAAAGGAAGAATCATCAAAATTGAAAATATTTCCCTCGTGGATAAAGAAATAAGATTATACACCACATTCTGTGAATGTAAAAAGCTTATTTATAAAGAATACAAACAGAACAACCTCGATAGGGTAAGAACGTTTATGCACTGAGAACTATGCAAACGACGTGAAGGTGACCGTGTAAACAAATGATAATCAAAGGCTGATACATAAAGAATGAGATATTCTGGAGAGTTAACATCTTGACCAGCCAACAAATCCAAGGAAGACCACTGAATTTCTAAGCTGTAGAAAATTTGATAAAATATTTGCGAATTGAGAAAAGTTTTGAAAATGAAACTCAGTCATTCCCATTACACTAAGTGCATTTGGAATGGCATCAAAACCACCAGAATCCAGATTAGGTGAAAAATTGTTGTAGAGGAATAAGTGTCGTTGCCAACACTAGATCGCCAGTGAGCAACATGGACGATTCCATTATTAAGTAGATCACGTGATCATAAAGGAAGTAAATAAATAGGAAATAAATTCACTGTTCACTCTTGATCACTATCCGAATTATTATTCTTGAGTCTCGTTTTTCGGCTGGAAGTGACCAACTTTTGACCGATTGTGTGCTTACGAACTTTCTTCGACCTACAAGCGATCTGGTAAGTTACCCCTTTTTTCTGTTTAATTTATTGTTTTCTTTTCTTGTAAGTTTTTTTCCCTCGTTGGCTATGGCCGACATTTTTATTTTTAGTCCGGTTTGACAAAGTCTTACCGGTCTATTTTTCTGTTTTTCTTTTCTTTTATTTTTTTCTCATTTATAGTTAACGTTTTCTTTTATCTTCGTTATTGTGGGAAAAAAAATAAGCAAAGTTTAAGAAAAGAAAAAAGAAAGAAGTTTTTTTTTTAAATTTTCCTTTTCAATTTTATATTTTTCGCCGGCAGCTACGGCAGCAAACCTTTATTTTCATTTTTTTAAACTGGTTTGACTAGTTTCAAACCAGACTTCTGTATTTTTTCTCTTTTGCATTTTAATTTATAGTTTAGTTTGAAAAAAAAAAAGGAAAAGGAAGTCCTTTTATTGATATTTAAATTTTGAACTTTTCATTTTCTTTCTTGTCGAACTTGTTTTTTTAGTTTTCTCGGCGGCATTTGGGCGCCATTTTGAATTTTATTTCTTTTTAAAGTCTTACCACATCACTTATTTTATTTTTATTTTTTTAATTTATTAACTACTTATTTGAACGAGTTTATTTAATCTAGTTTCTATTTCTTGTTCATACTTTATCAGTTTTATTTATTTATTTATTGCTAGTTTTTTATTTCTTTGATTATATTTCTTGGTTTCGGCTGACTTATTTTTTCTTGGGTGAACGTTTAGTTTTCCCAGTCTTTTTCTTATTTATCAACTTTATTTTTGAAAAATTTATTGTTTTCACTTTCTCCTTTTACTTATAATCGTTTTTGGTTTAATTCCTTCTTTTCAAATTAGTTCTTATAAGTAGTTTATTTTATTTATTTTATATTGGTTTATCCAGTATTTCTTTTATTCTATTAATTCTTTAGTTTCACACTTTCCTACTTGTGATACTTGGTTAATATCTTCTATTATTGTAGAAGAATCTAATTTCTGATTTTTTCAGTTTTTGTTGTGTTTAATCCCCCCCCCCTTTCCCTACCCCTACTCAATTTTATTCTTCAAAAGAATTTAAAAATATAGACCCGCTTAGAGAGGTTGATTATAAGAATGGCCGAAGTGGATAGTCGTTTTGTGAAAAAGGACGTTTTCGGGGCTGCCGCTAAGGCAGACCCCCCTCCCCGGATAAAACGGCGACAAGCAACCCTTAAAAATCCTGACCAATGTTCAAATGTGCATAGTAGCACAGAAAAGACTATGACGGATGAAAGTCAACCCAGTGATAAGAATGAGCCAAAGGAGGCTGAAGATAAGACGACAGCCGGGGAATCTCCCTCTTGTTAGAAGTCCCTACCGAATTGCATTATAAACATCGCGGAATTTTTTGAAAAGGCTAAATGCTACACATATTTTGTAAAAGAAGATGAGCTCTTAGAGGACGTCCAAGAATTAAAGATGTTTGAAAAGAGATTGTGTCAGTCTTCGTGGTGGACAAACGTTCGTGCAAAATTTGTCGCTTAACGAAAGACACGGTGATAAAATCACTCATATCCCTGGGGATTAAACCGCAAAGAATTATGAAAGGACCAGGCTTCATCATGTGGGACGTACTGCTGCGCACGCCCAAGATTGTCTAGATATGGGAAAGAAGGAATTGATTACAAAAGACCTCATCCTAAGAAGGAGTATGAGATTCTTCGAAAGACCAAGGGGCCGTATACGAGGTCCCTCCTCATGTGATGGGAGAGCACCTGGCAACTTTCTTCATGCAGCACGGCCAAATTTTAGCTGGCAATTCCGACAATCTGAACGGAGGATGGAGCTTTGACATTATGCTCGATCGTTTGGCCTTCGTCTTCATCCCCAACTAGATATTTGTGGCTGGAAAATGTCGGTCATTGTGACTGGCAGAAAACCTTCTTGTTGGAGGTATGGAGAGACTGGTCATCTCTCCTCCTCCTATCCAGGGAAGAAGACTCCTTGAGTTCAGGACGCTAGCGACAAAAATCCCCCCTCTGCCCAATACATGTAAATCCGCGGCGCTTGTAATGAGCCTACCAGCGACAAGGACCGGTGAGGATAATCCCGCGATTGGGTCCTCGCCCACATTACCACAAAAATCGACGCCTTCCACAAGTGTGGAGAAGGAAGAAGGGGAATGGTGTGTCGTTGGTAGGGGCAGAGGGAAGATCCAAATAGCGGGGCCTCAGTCCTAGCATGACCTCAAGGATAACAACACCTACAACCCCATGCCCTCTACCAGCTCTAAGGGCGACATATCAAAGAACAGCTACAGAAATTAAACGAGCCAAGCTGGCAGAAGATTTTGGATTTAAATTTTTTTAAAAAATCATTAGAAGAAAAGCGAGCCCAAAACCAAGAGCAGCTGACGGCACCGTTCCCCTCATCCTCTGCCCCGTCTTCCGCTTCAAAACAAGAATCTTCTCTACAACCACCTCCGTCCAAATCACAGTCGAGTTCACCAGTAGAGAAAATATCTGACATTTCATTGCCTCAACCTTCCTTTCTAAAAGCACACCAAAAAATACACCTAGGCCTACTCTTTTGCAATCACCTCAGAAGAAACACATTAGAAGCCCAGAATCACAAGACACAACTGAAAAAAAGAAAAAAAAAGACTAAACCACTTTATCTCACAGGGGAAGACGTCTGCCGCGTATCACAGGAACAATCAGAGAGGGTTTGGGGGCAAACTAAAAACCCGAAGCCTCTAAGAGTTCTATATAACTTTCGGTATATAAAAGGAAAAGACATAGAAGTGCCGGAGAATTTTAAATACGTAAAAAGGCTGCTGACTGTTGTGCGGTCCGGCTCGGGTACGCGGGAGATTTGTGGCATGATAGAGGAGGCCAACATGCATTTGAAATTGGTACCACCAGCGGCTTACATGCTGGATGCACAGATGTCGGAAATGTCGGAGATTTGTACAGGGAGGCTCCCCGTTTTTGTTCACCCATCCCTGTATAGAGCCATAAAATTAACATATCCTGCAGTCATTGGCGGCCTGTCTCATGAAGATACCATCGAGGTTTCAGGTGGCCACTTGACCAGTGGTATCGGCCGTCGGTGTCCTCACCCCGGCCATGTTCAATGCAGGACAGCAATTCTATTTGGCTTTCATTATGGCTCTCTGGTTAGCAAGTTTGAATGCCCGGGGTCTGAGGTCGGGTCTAGTAGGGCGAGGTTCGATCACGATCTTCAGCGCCTCGATGTTTGTTGTGTGCAGGAGACCCATTTTTCATCTCGCGACCCAAATTCCCCTCTGGCCGAGTCTGTTGTTTCCGTCTCGTCTGTAATTGGTATGCCAGCAGCCAGGACCGGTGTGGTAAAACCCCCGGATGGGTCCGTCTCTCGGCCCCCACTCCCCGAAAAGCCTTTTCCCACCGCTAGTGCGGTTGCGGAGAAAGAAAAAGGGGAATGGCAGGTTATTGGTAAGGCTAGAGGGAAGCTCCAGGCAGCGGAACCTCGTCCCAATGAAGCCCCCAAGGATAGTGACACAGACAGTCCCATTCCCTCTACTATGCAGATAAACTGCGACAACAAAAGCTACATTATGAGCCTTCTTTTGAGAAGGTAGAAAAAAAAACTATAAAAACTTAAGGAATCTATAAAGGAAAAACGGTTACGCAAGAAACTTGTCCTATCTCCTCGACATCGTCTTCCCTTTCTTCCAAGAAATACATTATGGCTCCTCCTCCTGTCGTGAGATCCCCATCTCCCACGCCCTCCAAATTTACAACCTTAAAAAAGGCTGCAT